ATTTGAGGCTAGCCTGGACCTCATAGCTAGACCCTGTCTTGGGAGAGAGAGAGAGAGGGAGGGAGGTACAACCAGTTAGGCAGCCCTGCCAGTGTGTATCAGGTGAGGTGAGGACTTCAGGGAGAGTGACAGTGGCCAGGAGAAGAAAGTGGCCACATGGAGAGTTAAAGAGATCAGCTTGAGGACAGATGGAGTATAAACCAGTAAGGAGAGCGGGGCCACCGTTTGGACTGCCACCCCCTCTGTCTTCTCTCCATAACCAACGCCAGCCTCTCCTCAGTGTCTGTTGCTGACACTACCTCCTCTCCAAGACTTACCAGAGCTTCTCAGATGCAGATCTCTTCTGAGGGTCTGAACCCATTAGTTGTCCTCGTTCAAAGGGTTTGAGCACCTTGGGCGTCATAGTGTGGACACTTTCAGACCCATCTTACTGCCTCTGCTGTGGGCTACAGACGTAGGGGATTCTAGCCAAGTCACCTGTTGACACGTTGTACAGCTGTTGGTAGAGACAGCCGCTGGTGTGCAGGAGAACGAGATCAAGATTACTGCCCTTGGAGGAGAGAGCTCTCTGCAGAAAATACAGCCGTGTGGTGTGATAACGGAGGACTGGGCATGCTCCTTTCATTTGAGTGGTAAGGCAGTCTCACTGAGGAGGTGAAAATGAGGGGGGGGGGGTGGTAAGTACATAAAGCATTGGAACTAGAGGGAGAAATTCCAGAAAGTATTGCAACATCAGAGGCTTGAGGCTAGAATGTACATGGCTTATGTAAGAGACATAGGGTAGATGGAGTGTGAGAGAGGGTAAGAGATGTTAAAGAGAATTATCAGAGGCCAGACAGTACCCCACAGAACGTGGATTATTAATGTGGGATTGTGAAAATAACATCATGAATTTGGAAATTCTGATTTTTTTACATTAGAGATACATCCTGAAGTATTTATAGTTGAGATGATATAATGCCTATAATTTGTTTTCAAACATTCTAGGGAAAAAAATGAAATAAAACCAAGAGTTGGACAGAGGTAAAGGTGACAAAATAAAACATAGTAGAAACTTGATGTGTGTGTTTGTGTGTGTGTGTGTAGTGTATGCATATGTGTGCATGTATGTTTGTGGATACACTTTCCTGTGTGTGTGTATAGTGTTTGAATATGTGTCATGTGTGTTTGTGGATATACTTTTCTATGTGTGTGTATGTGTATGTGTGTGTAGTATATAAATATGTGTGCATGTGTGTTTGTGGATGCAGTCTCCTGTGTGTGTGTGTGTGTGTGTGTGTGTGTGTGTGTGTGTGTGTAGACCAGAGATCAACATCATGTGTCTCCCTCTGTCTCTCTCCACCTTGTTTTTTAGGACAGGCTTCTTTCTCACTGAATCTGGAGCTCACAGTTTTGGCTAGCTTGTCTAGCCTGCAAGACCTGAGCCCCTAAGTGCAGGGGTTACAGATCTGCACCCCTATCTGGCTTTTTTCGTGAGTGCTTGGGATCCAAACTCAAGTGCTCATTTGCACTTTACCTCCTCAGCCATCTCCCCACGCCAGTGATTTTTGAAACTGAACAGTGTTCACTTTCTATGTGTCCTCGAGGGTGTTTGAAATTTTCCATAATGGAGAACATTGAAGGGCAAGTTTGGGAGCTTGGACTAAGTATGACATTTTAGAATATGTGAAGGGTTTTAGTCTGACAAGGAGTGTGGAAAGAGCTACGAGAGACCCAGAAAGCTTCACTTGGAATACTGTGAGACAGCCGGGAAGGAGGCAGATTGGACCTTGATGACGGTGGAGGCCATGAGAAAGAAACTTTCTGGAGAAGTGATGAGGGACTAATTGCGGAAGAGGAGTTCAGGTGGGTGGGGCTGCAGAAGCGACTCAGGTGCCCTGCTGGGGACTTCTCCCTTCCCCTTCAGTCAGTAGCAATCCTGGGGACAACCAGGAGGAGAGGAAAGGGATCTTCACTAAGGAGGAACTGAAGCCGGTCTTGGGACTGCCAGCAGGGTGCTGGGCAGCGGTGAGTGGAGGCAAGATGGCTGGCGGGCCGGCTAGCTTCGTAGTTTTGTTATGAAGAACTTCCGGGTGGTAGTTTCTTGTGAAAGTTAGCGCTTATGGTGAGCCATTTAGAGCATGTTTCTGCATTTTTTGTTTTGTTTGTTTTTTGCTCAGGAAATGGTGTAAATCTTATTAGTGATCCTATCTGAATAATTAAGATTGAAATTCTCTTGTGAAATTGAGCACTTTAAAATGTGTATGTAAATTAAATGAGTAAAAATGATAAGATCTGGGGGAAACTCCAACTGTGGGAAAATTTTATATATATGTATATATATATACATATATATATATATATATATATATATATATATATTATGTCTTCTGATTTGTCAGTAGCAAAAAATATTTAAAAATATACTTCAGACCCAATAGAAAGTAATAGTTGCCAGAAATTAGAGAGACATGGTAGTTCCCTAGACCTCTATAATTAAAGGTGTTAATCCTACAAGCACATCTAAGAAAATACGCTATAAACATCCTGCTCCCAGAAAGCACTAGGTGCTCCAAGAAGCTTGTGGGCCCCTCTCCTGTCCTCATGACTCTTGGTTTGTTTGGAGTCAGGACTTTCCACTGTAGCCCAAGCTGGCCTCAGACTTGTGGGGGGCCTTCCTGCCTCAGCTTCCTGAGTGCTGAAGCCTGGGGGGGGGAACAAAGGTAGAAGGTCTTATTGGGTGGGCAAACAGTGTTGGAGCACACGTTAGCTCTAGTACCCTGGAGATTTCCTAGTGAGACTTCTTGTCCCTTCCACCTGACCTGTCATGTACATCCGAGCTTATACCTCAGACGGGCTCGAGAGCGTGGGTTGGCGTGCTGCTGGGCCGGGCACAGTTACAGTCCAACTTGGAATTAATTCCCAGTAGCTGCCGTAAAAAGCTCTCGGGCAGTAAGAAGAGGAGGTGGCGGTCTCTCTCTAAAAGCAAGAGAGGAGGTTTGTTTTACTCAAGGACTCATCGCTGAGCTGCCGGGTCACAGGAGGAATAAGAGTGGGGGCACACCTCCTGAGTCTGATTATGCAGGAGGCAGCCTGATGGAGATGAGAGGGGAGAGGTGGCGGTAATGCCTCTGACAGCCCTGCCTCCCCCCTGATTGTCAGGAGAGAAAGATGCCCAGAGAGGAGGTATCCATTATCTCTTCCTACAAAGGGATTAGTGTGGGTTGTGAGAAATTAACGGCTTTTTAGTTACCACAGAAATAGTCATGAATTAACATTAGGACCAGAGATGTAAAGCAGCTAAAATAGGCCTTTCTCCACCTCCTTTCTCTCCCTTCCTCTGTTGATTTGGTATTTTAAAATGAGAGCAAGCTAGCCCTCCCTCCCTCCCTCCCTCCCTCCCTCCCTCCCTCCCTCCCTCCCTCCCTTCCTTTTTTTCCCTTTCTTTACCCAAAGCAGACATCATCCCCTTTGCAAGTGTGGTCTGTCTTCAGGGAATGATTCAGTTTGTGGCTGTCTGTAGAATGTGTCAGTGAGAGATTGAGAAGCAACTTGGTAACATTTCTACCAGGTCTTTCGGACCATTCTCGTGCATGGATATCCTTTCATGGCAGACCAAGATCTCAGGAGACCAGGCACGGTAGTCTTTACCTGTAGTGTAAGTACCCAGGAAGCTGGGGCAGAAGGATCTTGACTTTGAGGCCAGCCTTGGCTACAAAATGGGAGCCTGTCTCAAGAAACAAATTCTCAGGAGTCTCTCTAGTGACAGTCCCTTTTATCCAAGAACTGCGTGGCATTCAGTATGGTTATCATGGATTACAGATGTTGTACCTAGATACACATGTACAAGTGAGGGTAAGGGAGAGAAGAGGATGGGGAGGGAATTAGACCTACCATGTGTTAGATACTGGGCTAGAAGCTTATTTCTGATTTAACATGTACTTTTCTTTTTCCATTTTTTTTATTTATTTGAGACAAATACTTGCTTTGTAGTACAGGCTGGTATGCACTCAGTGTGTAGCAGGCTAGTCTCAGACTCATGATCTCCATGATCCTCTTGTCTCAGTTTTCCCGGTGCTAAGATTACAAGTATACCTGCACCTACCTAACAAATGCAATTTGTTACTAAGGACCCGTTGTTGTATTGATAAGGCATTGTCCTGTGTGCTGTGCCATAGAAAGGAAGAGAGAGCTGACTCCATTAGGGAAGACAGACTTTAAAAACAAATCAGATATTGTTTGTTTGTACATTAAGTAACTTAGGGTACTACAGTCTGATGGAAGCCTGCGGTGGGGGAATAATGTAGTAGGGCTCCCTGACGCTGACCCAGGGCCGTGTGTCTACAGATGAGATGGGGGAAGGCGAGAGGGCTCAGGAGGAAAGTCCACTCCGTGATCGCTGGCTGAAGCCGTGGGATTCAACCTTGCAAGCCAAGGCCACAGCATAAGCACAGTCAGACTCAGAGAGAAAACCGCCCCCTGAGGTGGGAGCTCGAAGGGGAGGTCGGACAAGGGTAGAGATGATGCTGGCTTAGGGGCCAGGTGCTGCCCTGAGGGCTGATGGGCTTGCCTGAGGAGCAGTTTATAAGCACACAGTTCACTGTCTCTGTTCCCCCTTCTGGCTTCACCAGCCTAGGAGAAGACAAGAGTCTGAGCAGGGAATTAGCTTGTGTGGTGGGAACGCTCTCTTGTATGTTGGAACTCTGCAGACTTTACTTAGAGAGGGCGGAACCTGGCAGATGTGATCAGTGTGCAGGGCACACCTGTTCTGTTCACAGCTTCCCAGCATTTCTGTTTTGCACACAGGCCTCTGTGTCACATTGACATCATACACACCGTATATACCTGTGCACTCGTTCATCACCTCAGGGTGAGAAATTCCCCCAGGCACATCTTGCCTGAACTTTACTATTTCTGCGTTATTGACTCTGAATCAGACAGACGTCAGCCCCCAGTGTGGTTGGTTCCATGTACCTGCCTTCTCATAGTTATAACTTTGACTTCTCTTTTCTTCCTTCTAGAACACAAGCAGACGTTCCCAAACATACTGAAGAAGGGCTATCTGGAGATCAGGCAGAACCACGACAGTTACTGGCAGAGCTGTTACGCCGAGCTCTCACCCTACAACTTACACTTGTACAGCCTCGACAGCAGCGGGAACCAAAGCCTGTACGCCACGTACCAGCTGCCACACTTCCGGAGCGTATCTGTTCTGGGCAATCTGGAGGCCAGGGTGGTAGACACTGTTCTCTGTGACAATGCTCAGCTGCAGTTAAAGGCGGAGTCTCCGTGGGAGGCACTGGACTGGGGGCAGAAGCTCTGGGAAGTTGTGCATGCTGCTACACCCAATGGCATGGGCCGGCAGGATGAGCTGGCAAACTCCCCGGGATTTGGCCATCATGTTGACTGTACACAGAACCACTGTTTACAGAAGACATCCAGTGGGCTGCTGTCCACCCCTGTCTTGGAGAGCCCCAAACAGTACCAAAACATCCTCAAATCAGGGACACTCTACAGATTGACCGTCCAGAACAACTGGAAGGCGTTTACGTTTGTGCTGAGCAAGGCCTACCTGATGGCCTTTCACCCTGGCAAGCTAGACGAGGATCCCCTGTTGAGCTACAATGTGGATGTGTGTCTGGCGGTGCAGGTAGACAACCTGGATGGCTGTGACTCTTGCTTTCAAGTCATTTTCCCCCAAGATGTCCTCCGCCTCCGGGCTGAGACCCGCCAGAGGGCTCAGGAATGGATGGAGGCTCTGAAGACAGCGGCCAACGCGGCCAGGAGTTCCGAGCAAAACCTGCAGGTCACACTGAGGCACAAACCCACAGAGCAGATAGGTGGCCGCGAGCTGCGGAAGAACAAGCGTCAGTCGGTGACCTCCAGCTTCTTGAGCATCCTGACAACCCTGTCTTTGGAGCGAGGACTCACCGCTCAGAGTTTCAAATGTGCAGGTATGGAGTGTGCGTCCAGCCTTGAGCTCATTCACGAGCATCCCCAAATCCTACAATGGGAATTCATTTTTAGACCTTCTCATGTGACGGTCACAGATGTTTGTTAAAATCATCTATTTATAAAAAGTATCTCTCCCCCAAGAAGTATACTTCATTAAAAATTTGCAGGGTTCCAGGCCAGCAAGGGCTGCAGAATGAGACCCTGTCTTAAAAAAAAAAAAAAATCTAAGTGGTCCACAGGAGGCTGAGTTGCGATTGCCAGGAGTTGAAAGCTAGCAGCTAGCATGGGCTACAGATCGAGTGTCAGGCCTGTCAGGGCTACGGTGTTACAGTGTGAGACCTTGTCTCAAAAGATAGCCCAAACCAAACCAAATCTGTCCATCCTAATACTCACTGGTAAAGCAAATAGAAGCCACGATGTATGTCAGTGAATCCAAATGACTTGGCCAAAGCCTGACCAGACTGGAATTTAGGCTTCCTGAGTCAGCCACGATCCCATTTCCTCTGCCTTCTTGAATAAAGGTCACTGTGATTGTATACGTCACAGATTGTTTCATGACAGAATTTTAAGTCCTAGTAACTACTGGCACAGGATTTGACAAAGTCATGGTCAATCTCAGCTGCCAGGTAGGCAAGGCAAATGTTCCTTCTTGGCAGCTGAGATTGACCATGACTTTGTCAAACCCTGCTGGACTCTGTAAAAAGTCAGCATTGCAGACAGTGTGGAGATGGCTGAAAGGAGGGTACACAGTTACTCAGCAGACGATTCCTGAGGCGTGAGGGGAAGCCCGAGTTCCTGGAGCCACTGTGTGAGGTTGACAGAGTGGACTGGAGCCTAGTGCTCTGCTCTGTCCATCTACTGTAAGCTGGATTAAAATCGCCCCCTTTCACCAAACCCCCAGACTTGTGATGGCAATTTGCCCCAAAGACAGACTTAACTGGAAGCCTGATGGAGAAGTTTTAAAGCCAAGTTTGTTAGACTTAAGCATGCTGGTTAAAAATGAACAAGAAGCAGCTCACCACCAGCCAAGAGCAGGGTTTACATTCTGGTCTTGCTTCTGCAAGCAATTGAAAAAAAGCAAATGGTGGTGGTCGGAAAACTCACACTTTAAATTCAGTATAGTCACACTGCCCGCCTTTCTGTGGGAAACTAATCGACTCTAAGGAGGGTCTCGGTGACTGTGCAGTAGGAACTTAGAGGTGGGGCTGGCGAAAGGAGAAACTGAGCCAGAAATGCCAGGACAACCTGGTGTGGCAGTACATACTTGTCTTTCCAGTACTTGGAAGGCTGAAGCAGGAGTGTTGCCAGTTTGAGGCCAGTCTGGGATCTATAGTGAAAACGTGCCTGAGAAAATAAAAATACACATTGCGAGAAACACTGAGCCAGTGTAGAAGCTTCAAGAGGTGTGTGTGTGTGTGTGTGTGTGTGTGTGTGTGTGTGTGTGTGTGTGTGTGTCCGTACATATGACAGACTAGACTTTGTGCTGAATCAGCCAGCTACTTTTGGAAGTGGTTTTGAAATAAGGCAATAGTTTTAGTAGTTTTGGTGTATTCCATTTGTCTTGTTTTTATTTATTTTAGATATTGTTAGTGCTTCAGGGTCTCATTGGTGCATATATTATTATATTTCAGAATTCAGGCATACAACAGTATTAATTGCCTACAAGATAGGCAATTGTTAGTGCTTCAGGGTCTCATTGGTGCATATATTATTATATTTCAGAATTCAGGCATACAACAGTATTAATTGCCTACAAGATAGGCATCCCGAATTCATAGCAGACTTATGTGACCTTAGATTGCTGATGGGGTCAGTCAATCTCTTGTTATTGGAAGATGAGAGAATAGGCCAGTCTTGTTCACAAGGCTGTCCCCGGAGTAGGAAGAGAACGAAGGAAGCCTGGGGTGGTCTGCGAGGGCTGCCATGTAGTTAGCACTTCTCACATTTCCCTGAGTTTGCTTCCCAATGGAGTGTGCATTGCCCATGGTTTGCACTGAGGAAATATTAGAGAACAAACCAAGTGCATGGAAAATGGAGAAATTAAAAACAGGAAAAGGCAAAGCGAGGCGAGGAGGCAGCGAGAAGGAGCCGAGTAGAAGAGGGAAGTATTATATAACGGGCAGGAATGGTGCTTTCTGGACGCATCACCAGTTCCCGCAACAGAATGCCTCCCTTGGCTGTCTAAATTTGGTGCTTGATAAAGCTGGCTTGCTGGCGGATGGCTGAGTGGGGGTGCGAGGGAAGCCAGGGCATGGGAAAGAAGTCTAACGCTCCTTGCTCCGCTCAGCTGTTGCTCATACTTGGGCTTGGCACTCCCGTGGGATGCAGGTGTGGGTTTCTAATTTAGGGTGGAGAGGATGCTAATTTACATACGTAACGTATAATGTAGCGCATTCCAAAGTAGGATCAGTTCTGTTCCATTGCCCCCCCCCCTTTTTTTCCGTCAGAGAGTGTGGTATCCAGCCGCCTCATGATACATGTAGTTTACAGACCTTTTCCTTTCCAGTAATAAACAGGGAAGGAATACTGGTTTCCTGCCTCAGGTTGGAAATTATTCTGTGTGTCCTGTAGGGGGCAGAGTCTCAAAAGAAAAAGGAAAAACAAAACAAAACAACTTGATAAACAAACCTGATTTTTTTTTTTTTTAAATTACTCGGGGGCAGTTTGTTATATCAAAGATTGTTGTAGCAGGTGGCCCTTGAGGACCTGTGTTTCCTACTGTTAATTTAAATGACTTGCTCTGCCTTTTGTCATTCTGTCGTCCTCCTCATGACAACGACTCCGTGAAAAAGCAGCTGCATAGCATGTGTGCCTTCCCAACTGCCAGTCAGCTCCACACTTCGGGCTTTATGTCTTTCTTGAGAAGCAAATCACAGAATTTCGTGGCTGTAGTGTATCTCTTTACACTGTTGAGTTCTGAATGCCTGCTTCGTCTCCCTCCCTTTAAATACTCTGGATGAATAAGTGTTAACTAGAAGGTGGCCCTGGGTAGCTCTTTATTCTGACGTCATTTGGTCATTTTTCCGAGGAGCCACAAATACTGGCATTTCCATATATAAAATAGGACAGTTGGTCCTATTTCACTGTAGTCTTTCTCTAAGTGAAGAATTCTCTAGATCCCTTAAAATTTTTAAAGAGTCCCTACAGAAAAAAATGCAGCATGACCACCCCAGGATTCCTGAGGTTATAGTTTTGAAGCTCTATGCTGGTCCATAACTGCATATTTCTCGGCTTATGTTTAGACTTAGCTGCATAGCTTCCTCTTCAGTTCCATGGCTGCTTAGGAAGCTCTGGCCACAGAAACCTAACCATGTTCATGCCTGTCTCCTGGGGACCCCTGGACTTGAAGTTCCACCTCCTGACATCTGAAAACCCATTCCTGTGCTCATTCCATCATTCACCGCTTGCCCAGTACTTGGGTGTGCCTGGGGTCAGCGCTTCAAAAGTGTGGAAGCAGTAATCCCATTGGTAACTGCCAAAGAGCAGCCATGACAAGATCCATAGGCCTTCAGAGGTGGTGCCAGCTAGGGCCGTGTGAGACTGCTGATCTTTCATCATTTCTGGCCTATAAATAAGGCACTCGATAAGGTTGGAGCTCACGTTTGACCATGACATCACAGGAAGATCTTGAGCAGAGCAGCATGTGCTGGACCAGATGCTGCAGAACTATTACTCGGGGTTGCTTTAATATGGCCTCTGCGGAAAGCTTCTGCAACAGAAAATGAGGTGTGCTTCTTCGGTGAAATTATGGGCTGGAATTCAAAATTGTATCTGATAGTGAGGAATCTCTGATGCTAAAATATTAATGCTTAAAAGATGATTGTGCAGTTTATTAAAATATTTATGAAGTGCATCCCCATCAGAGGTAATTTTGGTTACTCATAACTGCTTTATAGAACAGACTATAAGACAACATGCTTGTTTTCTTTAGGGATTCCACATGAGCATCTATTTATTCTCACTCAGCAGATACATGGTTTTTTTGGTGTTAGCACACATAGTCATTTCCCAGCAGTCCGGAGACCTAGCAACTGAGTACAGCCATTTGAAGAGCCTGGGACTTCCTAGGTGTAACAGAGCTGCAAAGCTCATCCTCAGAAGTGCTCCTTGTGTGTCATCTGGAGGTGGTTTGGGCGGCCCACTCAGGGCCCCGCTCGGAGTGGAACTGAAGCTGTGTGCTAAGGGAAGAAGAATGGGCCTCGGCCTGCACTGTTTCCCCTGTTGTTTTTATGGTTTTGCCCCGGCTGCTGTTTAACCTCTGGAGACTGCTGGTGGAGATTGTGCGTCTCTGGCATTAAGAGCTGTTACTTTCCTTTTTCTTCCCCTCCAGCCCTGGGGGGGGGGGGGGGGGGGGGTTTGCTGTGAATTCTTCAGCCATTTAGTGCAAATTCCCGTAATTACCGGCATTGTGTCTCCCCTGAATGGCACATAACACAGCAGAAGCCGTTCCTAATTGAGACCTTACAGGAGGTACAAATCCCCTCTTTGTTCAGCCTGACAAATTAGTGCCAGAAAGTGGCAGGGTCCGAGTGGGAATCAAAGGCAGGAAACACAAAGCTGCAACTTCAGCCTACTACAGTCATAACCCTCTCTGTCTGTCCTGAAGGGAAAAGAGTGATGACCGAGGGAAAAATGAAGGGTTGTTTGTTGTTGTTGTTGTTGTTACAAATTCCCTTGACATGACAGCACCTCGGGGCTGCTCTATTTATTTAGTAAAAGTGATTAAATAGTAATACAGCAGGGCGGCCCATTGTTTCCCTGGGCACCCCCATCTCACAGACCCCCGTTGCCTCGGCTAATTGATTGACAATGAACCTCTGAAAAAGAAGTCTGTTGTTAGGACCTGGGATGTGGGAGCATCCCTGCACCCTGGTGTGTCTCTGCCTGCACGTTTCATTTTCTGTGAACTGTGCTCCAATTTCCCCTCGCCTCACCTGACCCTCGCTCTCCCTGACCTTGCTTTTCCGCGCCTTTTTCTCCCTGACACCCACAAACAGGT